TTCCTTACAGCTCATTTGGAAAAAAAAAAAATATCTACTACTGAAAAGTTCCTGTCCTTTTGTCACGGTCTTCTCTTCCTCCACACTCCACACAAGCCACATCCTCCTCTACCAAGGCATGCTCCACATGCCCTTTTCCATACTCTGGTTGCACCAACACTATCCTTTTTTTTGTTACTTTCAAATTAAGTCACAAATTATCTCCCAAACTCTAAGGGTAGTGATAGGGCCTACACAGTGCCCTGTTCTTCACTCCTCTGCTCAGGACATACCAAACCCAGTGAATGGTGGCAGATTCAATTTCTAGAAACGAAATGAGCATCCTGCCCATTACTACAGCCACCCCCACAATCACTCATTTGCTCACATATGCCAAGTGCCTGGGTAGGCCTTGGTATAAAACACAGAGTCCTTGTCATCAGGAAACTGCTGTTTAAGTGGAATGTGGGCAAGTAAACTGTCTGCCATGGCACACATGTGAAAGCAGGCCCAGGGGAGGCTGAATCCTGCAGCAGCTGGAGCGCAGAGCAAGGATGCCTACAGAGTTCTGTGAGCAAAGGGCAAAGGGGGCCTGAAACTGAGCCATGGGGAAACATCATGTTACAACAGTAATTTTTTTGCTTGATAATGGACTATTCCATTGGCATGCTGTTATTTTTCTCTCATTCAAGGATGAATGAGGATGAGCATTCAAGGATACTCAGGCTTTTTTTTTTTTTTGAGATGGAGTCTTGCACTGTTGTCCAGGCTGGAGTTCAGTGGCGTGATCTCAGCTCACTGCAACCTCCGCCTCCTGGGTTCAAGCGATTCTCCTGCCTCAGCCTCCTAAGTAGCTGCGACTACAGGCATGGGCCACCATGCCCAGCTAATTTTTGTAGTTTTAGTAGAGATGGGTTTCACAACGTTGGCCAGCCTGGTCTCGAACTCCTAACCTTGTGATCTGCCTGCCTCAGTCTCCCAAAGTGCTGGAATTACAGGCGTGATCCACCACGCCCAGCTCAGGCATTCTTGCTCTGCGCTCCAGCTGGTGCAGGGTTCAGCCTCCCCTGGACCTGCTTTCACATGTGTGCCCTGGCAGACAGTTTACTTGCCCACATTCCACTTAAATGGCAGTTCCCTGACGACAAGGACTGCATGTTTTATACCAGGGCCTAGCCAGGCACTTGGCATATGTGAGGAAATGAGTCAATGTGGGGGTGGCTATAGTAAAGGACAGGATGCTGTTATTTTTCTCTCATTCAAAAGCAATCAATTACACAAACCTCTTGCCTCCACACCCCCCAGCTACCAACTCTTTTCTTGCCCCTCTTTACCATAAAACTCCTCAAAATGGTTGTCTAACTCTCCTCAACTCCACTCCTTTCATTTTCTAAATCCAAAAGGTCATGTCAGTCCTCATCTTAATTGACTTCTCAGCAGCACTTGAAAAAACTGATAACGCCTCTCTTCTTCACTTGGTCTCCAAGACACCTCACTCTTGGTTTTCTTCCTATCTCTCCTGTGGCTGCTGCTTCTAAGACTCCTTTGCTGGCCGGGCACGGTGGCTCACGCCTGTAATCCCAGCACTTTGGGAGGCCAAGGCGAGTGGATCACCTTAGGTTGGGAGTTCGAGATCAGCCTGACCAACATGGAGAAACCCTGTCTCTACTACTAATACAAAAATTAGCTGAGCGTGGTGGCACGTGCCTGTAATCCCAGCTACTCAGGAGGATGAGGCACGAGAATCGCTTGAACCCAGGAGGGGGAGGTTGCAGTGAGCCAAGATTGTGCCATTGCACTCCAGCCTGGGCAACAAGAGTGAGACAACGTCTCAAAAAAAAAAAAAAAAATTAGCTAGGCACAATGGCGGGCACCTGTAATTCCAGCTACTCAGGAGGTTGAGGCAAGAGAATCACTTGAATCTGGGAGGCGGAGGCTGCAGTGAGCCGAGGCCACTGCACTCCAGACTGGGCAACAAGTGCGAAACTCTTATCTCCCCCCCGAAAAAAAGGAGACTCCTTTGCTGCGTCCTTCTCTTCTCCCTGACATCTTCTTTCTTTTCTTTTCTTTTCTTTTTTTTTTATTTTTTGAGACGGAGTCTCGCTCTGCCGCCCAGGCTGGAGTGCAGCAGAGAGATCTCGGCTCACTGCAAGCTCCGCCTCCCGGGTTCACACCATTCCCCTGCCTCAGCCTCCGAGTAGCTGGGACTACAGGCGCGCACCACCACGCCCGGCTAATTTTTTGTATTTTTAGTAGAGACGGAGTTTCACCATGTTAGCCAGGATGGTCTCGATCTCCTGACCTCGTGATCCGCCCGTCTCGGCCTCCCAAAGTGCTGGGATTACAGGCGTGAGCCACCGCACCCGGCCTTTCTTTTTTCGAGACAGGGTCTTCCTCTGTTGTCCAGGCTGGAGTGCAGTGGCGCGATTTTGACTCACTGCAACCTCTGCCTCCTGGGTTCAGGCCATATTCTCCCACCTCAGCCTCCAAAGTAGCTGGGATTACGGGCGCTTACCACCACACCTGGCTAATTTTTATATTTTTAGTAGAGACAGGGTTTCACCATGTTGGCCAGGCTGGTTTGGAAATCCTGACCTCAAGTGACCCGCCCACCTCAGCCTCCCAAAGTGCTAGGATTACAGGCCTGAGCCACTGTGCCTGGCCTTCCCTGATATCTTAAAGTTGGAGGGGCCCAGGGCTCTATCTTTGGTCCTCTTCTCTTATACATTCACTTTATCCGGCTCACCTCTTAAGTGTACCCAATTAATTCTTACAAACGCATTATCAAGACACCAATCATTTCTATGGCTTTAAATACCACCTATATGCCAACCACACCCTAATCTATATTCCCATTCCAGGACTTTCTCCCAAATTCCAGACTCATACATCTGTGCAGAAAAGAATTAATATAACAGGCCTGAGATTGCTATCCTTAGAATGCCTGCTTGCATAGTTGGCCCATGGCTAGTGTCTGGGAACTTGAACTTCATGAGGGTTCCCACAATTCCCACCTGGATAAGAGCGGCTCACTGTGCTGAAACTGTACAATGTGATTCTGAACACCTGCGTTTTTCTGGGGCAGCTGAAATTTTGGCACACTCTAGGCAGACAGTGCCTATGTGACTTTTTATTGGAAAAATGAGCTCTATGAGCTTTCCTGATATAGATCTCTCACGTCTTGTCATAATTTGATGCTGCAAGAATTAAGTATACCCCATGTGACTCCACTAGGAGAGGACTCAGAAGACTGCACCTGGTTTCCTCCAGACTTTGTCCCATGCATCTTTTCCCTTTGCTTATTTTGCTTTGTATCCTTTTGCTATAATAAATCACAGCTGTGAGTATGACTATGTGCTGAGTCTTTTGAGTCCTCTTAGTGAATCAATGAACCTGGGGACCTGCAACACAATATCTAACGCCTATTTGACACCTCCATGTGGGTACATAATAAAGTCATTCATACAATGTCACTCCTTTCCTCAAATCCCTACAAAAGCACTCAGAGAAAAGCAAAGTCTCTACCATGGTCTAAAGGCTCTACAGGATCTGGTGCTCCCTCAGCCCCCATTTCCTCTCCAACCTCATCTGCAATCTGACTCTTGCAAATTCAGCTTCAGCAACACTGGCCTCCTCCCCTTAATTAAGCACTCACCATGTGCCATGCACTAATTTGGGCACTAGAAATTCAGCAGAGGAAAAACATATGGATGAAGATTCCTATTCTTGTAGAGTTTATACTCTAGTAGGGGAAACAGGTACACACACACAAAAAAACACCGTGTAAATTACATGATAGCTGGTGGTTAATGCTCTAGGGGAAGAAAGTGGAGCAGGGTAAGGGGGATTGAGAGGGCAAATGAGGTCAGGCAGGTGGCTCATGCCTATAATCCCAGCACTTTGGGAGGCCAAGGCAGGAGAATCGCTTGTGTCCAAGAGCTTGAGATCAGCCTGGGCAACACAGTGAGATCTAAAATAAAAATAGGCCAGACGCAGTGGCTCACGCCTGTAATTCCAGCACTTTGGGAGGCTGAGGGGGGCGGATTAGTTGAGGCCAGGAGTTCGAGACCAGCTTGGCCAACATGGTGAAACCTCGTCTCTACTAAAAACACAAAAATTAGCCAGGCGTGGTGGCGCACACCTGTAGTCACAGCTACTCGGGAGGCTGAGGCGGAAGAATCGCTTGAACCTGGGAGGGGGAGGCTGCAATGAGCAGAGTTCACAGCACTGTATTCTAGGCTTGACCACAGAGCTAGTGTCTTAAAAAACGACAAAACAACACCCCCCTGTGGAATAAAAATTGATCAGAACGGGTGCATTCGAATGAATCAGGAAAAGAACACGCAATGATGGGCCCTGGGAATTGACCTGATAGAAGTCCATTTTAAAAGATCTCTTTGGCGTTGGTGTAGGGTGAGTGGAGGAATGATCACGGCAGAAGCTCATAGGAGGTTCTGGGTGACATCTTCAGGAGAGGTATACAATCTGAACTAACCGAAGACTGTAAGAAAAGCAGTGTCTGTAAGAAAAGCAGCGCTGACTTTGACCTGCTTGACGCCAGGAAACGCTCCACATTCCTGAGCCCGTTCACCGCTCCGTAAGATGGAGAAACTGGTCTAAACGCTTTGAAGTCTAATACAGCTAAAGATCCTTCCCTTTACTTGGAGACCTCGAAGGCTGAGGGCTAAGACAGGGTCGGGTTCCTCTAGCTCCCTCCCCGCCCCCGCGGGCAGTGCACCCTCCTGGGTCCCCAAGGTCAAAGGAAATGGACAACTGCGTTCCCGGGTTCGCAATCTGCATTCGGAGCCAGCAGGAGCGATCGGACGCAGGAACGGAAGTCCTCGCCGCGCTCAATTACCGCAGCCCCTGCGCAGCCCTGGGCTCGCGGGGCGTCCCAAGGCTGGCAGAATACGGGACACTCATGGGGAGACACGGCTGGAGCGTGGGCGGGGCGGCAGGGCGAAGTGACAGGGGGCGCGGGCAGGGGGCCCGGCGCGGCGCACCAGCAGAGGCGCACTCACCTGTACGTCAGGCCCTCTCGTCCCTCCCCGTGGCCGCGCGGACTGCAGGCCTCCAGGCCACCCCTACCTGCGCCCCGCCCCTTCCGCCGGCGCCGGCGCGGTGAGAGCGGGTCGAGCTGGGCGCGAGGCCAGGGCGGCAGCGAAGCAGCGACCCCTGCTGGAAGCCACGTCTCGGATGACTGAGCGGGAAGTAGGCTTGGGGCACAACCGCAGGCGAGCCCAGCGAAGAAGCCAGCGCCGCCTGATTCCACCTGACCGAAGAGAGCTCATCTTAATTCTTTTTTATTTTTATTTTTTTCTTTTTTCTTTTCTCTTTTCTTTCTTTCTTTCTTTTTTTTTTTTTGTTGAAACCGAGTCTCACTCTGTTGCCCAGGCTGGAGTGCAGTGGCGTAATCTCAGCTCACTGCAACCTCCGCCTCCTGGGTTCAAGCGATTCTCGTTCCTCTGTCTCACGAGTAGCTGGGACTACAGGCGTGAGCCACCATGACCGGCTAACCATCTTAATTATTAATGAAGTGATCCTTTCTCTGGGGCCACTAACCCCTTTGAAAAAAAAATTTTTTTTTTAGACAGGGTCCCACTCTTGCCTGGAGTGCAATGGTGCGATCTCGGCTCACTGCAACCTCTGCTACCCAGGCTCAAGCTATTCTCCCCACCTGAGTCTCCCCGGTAGATGGGACTCCAGGTGTGCGCCACCACGGCCTGCTAATTTTTGTTTTGTTTTGTTTGTAGAGATGTTGTTTCGCCATGTTGCCCAGGCTGGGACTCAAGTGAAGCGATCTTCCGGCCTCAGCCTCCTAAAGTGCTGGAATTACAGGTGTGAGCCACTGAGCCTGCCCCCTTTTAACATCTCCGAGTGATATAGGCGTTGTTTCCAAAAAATGTGCAAATACGTCAGAACTTGCAGTTTCAGGGAACATCTTTTCAAGAATAATGCAATTTACACGTGAGCCAATTCCCCTTTCCCTCCCAACCATCCATCCATCCATCCATCCATCCATCCATCCATCCATCCATCCATCCATCTATCCATCCCTCTCTTATTGGGTCTGTCTCTGGAGAACTCTGACTCATACACCAAACAAGACGTCACCCTGCAACATTCTAACAAAACTTCTAGTCAAAGTCACAGATGACCTCCACAATGTAAATCCAAAGGTCTGGTCTCATTCCTTAACTTACTTGAGTTATAGGATACCACATTGGTTTCACCTACCTCACTTGCCACTTAATCTTCTTCCCTGTTTTTACTTTTTTTGGTTTTGTTTTGTTTTTGTTTTTGAGAATGAGTCTCGCTCTGGCCCCCAGGCTGGAGTGCAATGGCATGGTCCCTGCTCACTGCAACCTCCACTCCCGGGTTCAAGTGATTCTCCTGCCTCAGCCTCCTTAGTAGTTGGGACTACAGGTACGCACCACCATGCCCGGCTAATTTTTTTTTTTTTTTTTGAGACGGAGTCTCGCTCTGTCGCCCAGGCTGGAGTGCAGTGGCGCGATCTCGGCTCACTGCAAGCTCTGCCTCCCAGATTCACGCTGTTCTCCTGCCTCAGCCTCCCGAGTAGCTGGGACTACAGGCGCCTGCCACCACGCCTGGCTAATTTTTTTTTTTGTATTTTAGTAAAGATGGGGTTTCACCATATTGGCCAGGCTTGTCGCAAACTCCAGACCTCAAGTGATCCACCCGCCTCAAAGTGCTGGGATTACAGGTGTGAGCCACCGCTCCCAGCCTGCTGTTTTTTCATTACATCCTTAGAATGCCAAAGAGTAAGTGCCCCAGGCTTAGACCTCTAATCTTTTTCCTTTTTATCTATCCTAGCTCCCCAGTTGATCTCCAACAATTTCGTGGCTTTACATATTATCTATATGTGGACAATCCTCAAATATGTATTGCCAGCCGAGATCATTCTCTTGCATTCAAGACTCCAACTGCCTACTTAACATCTTCACTTGCATATCTAATGGAAATCTCAAACTTGATAGGACCAAAACCCAGATCCCAGTCTCATCACCACACCCAAATGCATTCCTCCCACAGCATTCCTTATTTCAGTTAAGGAAATAACTGTTAAGGAAATTCCACCCTTCCTATTACTTAGGTCAGATATCTTAGAGATACCCTCAATTTCTCCCTTTCTGTCTCACCTGGGATTAGAGGTGCGCACTACCACACCTGGCTAATTTTTGTATTTTTAGTAGAGATGGGGTTTTACCATGTTGGTCAGGCTGGTCTTGAACTCCTGACCTCAGGTCATCCACCCGCCTCAGCCTCCCAAAGTTCTGGGATTACAGGTGTGAGCCACCACACCCGGCCGCTTACCTTTCTTCAGGCTATCCTCAGGACAATAACCAGAGTGATCCTATTAAATCACAAATCAAATCCTGTCATTACTCTACTTAAAACCCTCCTGGGCTGGCCGTGGTGGCTCACACCTGTAACCCCAGCAACTTGGGAGGTTGAGGTGGGCGGATCATGAGGTCATGAGTTTGAGACAAGCCTGACCAACATAGTGAAACCCTATCTCTACTAAAAATACAAAAGTTAGCCAGGCATGGTGGTGTGTGCCTGTAATCCCAGCTACTCAGGAGGCTGAGGCAGAAGAATAACTTGAACCTTGGAGGCAGAGTTTGCAGTGAGCCGAGATAGCGCCTCTGCACTCCAGCCTGACTGACAGAGCGAGACTCCGTCTCAGAAAAAACAAAAACAAAAAACAAAACCCAAAACCCTCCCAGGCTACCCACCTTATGTTACAATTAAAGCCAAAATCCTTTCAATGACCTGTGAGGCCTTCTGCATCTGACCTCATCTACATTGCTGACCTCAGCTACACTGCTGACCTCATCTCCCACCACCTTCCTCCTCCCTCTCTGGGTCCAGCCATACTCGCCTCCTTGCCATTCCTGGATGAGGTCCCTGGAAACCTCAGATGATGTCTTGCCTTAGGGCTTTTGCACACCTTCTTCCCTCCATCTGGCATCCTCTTCCCTCAGCTGACCACATGATTTGTTTCCATACTTCCTTCAGGTTTTCACACAAATGTCACTTTCTCAGTGAGGCATTCTCCTAATTATACTATTTTAAATTAACCCCCTACGTGATGGCATGTGCCTCTAGTCCCCGCTACTCAGGACTCTGAGGCAGGACGATTGCTTGAACCCAGGAGTTTGAGACCAGACTGGGCAAGAGAATATTTTAGATCCAGCCTAAAAAAATTATTAAATTAAATGTCCTAAAATGTTTCAATTTTTCTTCACAACACTAATCACCATCTAATATATTTTCCACGTATTTAACTCTTCTGTCTACTCCCACTAGAATGTGAGCCCTATCAGGGTAAAAATCATGTTTAATGTACTGCTGTATCCAATGCCTAGAACTGTGACTAGCACATAGGAAGTTCTGAATAAATAAGAGTTGAGAATAAATCTACATGTACAGAGATATTCACTGCAGCTTTATTTGTATGATACTAAAAAATGAAAACAACCTGATTTTCCATCAGTGTAATTATTTATCTAATTATTTTTTTGAGACAGGGTCTCGCTCTGTCACCCAGGCTGGAATACAGTTGCGCCATCTTGGCTTACTGTAGCCTCGAAATCCCTGGCTTAAGCAATCCTCCCACCTCAGCCCTCTAATTGTTGTATTTTTTGTAGAGACGGGGTTTCACCATGTTAGCCAGGATGATCTCGAACTCCCACCCTCAGGTGATCCGCCCACCTTGACCTCCCAAAGTGCTGGAATTACAGGCATTAGCCACCAGACCTGGCCCCATCAATGTTCTTATTTATGTTTGTTTCATTTTATTTTACTTTTTGAGATGGAGTCTCGCCCTGTTGCCAAGGCTGGAGTGTAGTGGCCCAATCTCAGCTCACTGCAACCTCTGCCTCCTAGGTTCAAGCAATTCTTCTGCCTCAGCCTCCTAAGTAGCTGGGATTACAGGTGCCCGCCACCATGTCCAGCTAATTTTTGTGTTTTTAGTAGAGACAGGGTTTCACCACATTGGCCAGGCTATTCTCCAGTTCCTGACTTCAGGTGATCCGCCTGCCTCAGCTTCCCACAGTGCTGGGATTACAGGCATGGGCCACCATGCCTGGCACCTATCAATGTTTTAAAAATCTACAAAGTAATAACGATGTTTAACATTTCTTAGAACAGAAGAGCTGGGTATGGTGGCTCATACCTGTAGTGCCAGTACTTTAGGAGGCTGACGTAGGTAGGAGGATCACTCGAGCCCAGGAGTTTGAGACCAGCCTGAACATAGTGAGACCCTGTCTCTAAAAAAAAATAATAAAGCTAGCCAAGCATGGTTGTGGGGAAAAGAAAGAGATCAGCCTGTTACTGTGTCTATATAGAAAGAAGTAGACATAAGAGACTCCATTTTGTTCTGTATTTGAGATGCTGTTAATCTGTGACCCTACCCCCAACCTTGTCCTTGCAAGAGACATGTGCTGTGGTAACTCAAGGTTTAATGGATTTGGGTGTGTCTTTGTTCCTAGAAAAGCTAGGTATTGTCCAAGGTTTATCTCCATGTGATAGGATGAAACAATGCTGCTAAAAGGTTTATCTCTAGGCACAGGATTTTCCTTTAAACTTATTCATGTCACAGAGATCCTTGTTCTTTTTTTTTTTTTTTTTTTTTTGAGACGGAGTCTCGCTCTGTCGCCCAGGCTGGAGTGCAGTGGCCGGATCTCAGCTCACTGCAAGCTCCGCCTCCCGGGTTGGGGCCATTCTCCTGTCTCAGCCTCCTGAGTAGCTGGGACTACAGGCGCCCGCCACCTCGCCCTGCTAGTTTTTTGTGTTTTTTAGTAGAGACGGGGTTTCACCCTGTTAGCCAGGATGGTCTCGATCTCCTGACCTAGTGATCCGCCCGTCTCGGCCTCCCAAAGTGCTGGGATTATAGGCTTGAGCCACCGCGCCCGGCCTGAGATCCTTGTTCTTATGTCTTACTGCTGATTTCCTCCCTACAATGATCCTATTGTCCTGCCACTCCCTTATCTTTAAGATGGTAAAGATAATTATCTATAAATACTAAGGGAACTCAGAGACCAGTGCCGGTGT